CAGTTTGCACCAGCTGCTTCTCTTCACCTAGCCCTGGTCCTTCCCAGGAAGTGCAGCCAACAGAGAAGCCAGCACCCGAAGGAAGTCTGTATACATCCTGAGCTGAGCAGCGGACAGAAACCGAGCCTGGACAGGGACTGGCGGCAGTTCCCAAGCTGTTTCCCAGATTCTGCTTTTGGGGATGGCAGTGAGAACAAGAAGTGGGGCCAGGAAAGTTCCAGGCTTTTGTGTTTGTCCTCATAAACGTGTTGATGTCTGATAAGGGGTGATGTCTGGAAAGCACTCTAGTCTTATTGCTCTGACCCTCACTCCGCCTTTTCAAACTTACCGGCGAGCCAAACAAGCTTGTAAACTGCTACGCGGACACGCAGTTGTAACCACCGACCTCTCGTTGCTTCTGTTTAGACATTCCGTCCGAGGTTTTCTAAGTTAGGCACAAGAAAATTTACTTTGCTTACAAATAGGCTATTTCAACAGAAAAAATATTTCTGTACTTCAGGAAAGATTCTTAGAACACATTCCTAGTTTAAATAAACTACTTGTACAGAAATGAGTTTTACAACCCACCTAGACTAAGTTGAAAATATTTTAAGCACACTTTTTTTAAATTTTAGGAAATTCTCTTGACTAAGCTTTCCAAGAATCACTACAAATAAGTGACACTGGTGGCAGCAAAATGAGTTAACAATCTAAGACCTGATGGCATTGACTTTAAGGAACAAGAGATCGACTATATACAGAAATTTGTTTTTTAAGCAGAGAATGGTATTTTTTCCAGACGTTCCTACTTCTAGGAATATAACTTTAACATCCCACATGTAGTCCACGCATCCACACTGGTTTTGAACCACACTTGTTCCACACAGGGTTCTTGTTTCCTCAGACACGTTCTCTGACCTCCAAGGGCAAACACACACGGCACACACTCCTGGCTGTTGCACAGAGCACTTTGGTCCCAGGCCTGTTGAATACGTGAGTGAGTGGTTTTTCCATTACTTACAAACCATGTTGATATTAAGCATAAGTGTAATCCAGATAAGCTTTCATTTTCTTGGCCTACAGGAGTATGACAGGATTAAACCCAAAGTGGATTAAGGGAAGACCCAACTATTTTGAATAAATAACATAGAAGTGATTGTACAATTTGGAACCACTTAATTTTGTGTCTGACTATAAAACAAACATTGTGACACAAATAGGACTGGAAGGAAACTGAATGCCTATAAAGTATACCTAAATATAGTAATACTGAGGAAATGAAACAATGTTCAACTTACGACAAGCAACCCAGTGGACTGTTACAGTTTTAGATCCATAAAAGTATAGATTATATTTTTAAATTTTACACAGTAACTAGTCTTAAGCAGTGTGAAAGACATTCTTGTAAAAAGAATCACACAGCCATAGGAACTTGCCATTTAAGAGAAAACTGATACTAATTCTGAATTAGTCACCCCTTATTCATATTTCTATAGGTTTTCACATATCAGGTTAGTTATCAATTAAAAAACATTTGTTCTTTAATGTGAAATTCCCAACATTTTCAGAGTATCAGAAGTTAGATTTTTTTTCCTCCCCAGACCACCTTGGACAAAATTAAAATTCTTTCTTTGATCTCACTAATATGAGAAAATCATTTGATATGTAATAAGCATTTCCATCCAAAATTCATTTGCAGGAAAGTCCTTGGAAAATTAACGTGAATGCCCCCTGATCTGAGCTGATCCCACACTAGCTCGGTCTGGGGCTCTCCTGCACACTAGAGAAGGCCCTGGAGCTTTTCCCGGGTCACCCCACGGGTGGAAATTACTTTGGTTCAAGACTGGAAAGGCCCACAGCCAAGAAATTCAAGTCACCAGGGAGGCCCTGAATTAATAGTTTCTTGGGGGACTTTTCAAACGATAGTGTTCCTAGGATGAAACCAGAAGCCACCCATGGTTCTTTCTTTACTTTGGAGATGAACTAATATGACTTGCCTGAACCATTTGGTCATCGAAACCTCCCTTACCTTGGACTTCTACACTGAGGATCTTTTAAACCTGGAGGAAATACTAAGATCAGAAGGGCGTGGTATAAAGATGATGTGAAAAGTAAAAGAAATCCAGGTACCAGGTTGAGGGAATTAAACTTGCCTCCTTATCAAGAGTCAGTCTTGAAGATAAACAAGTTCTGAGCATAGATGGTGGCGATGGTTGCACAATGTGAATGTACTTAATGCCACTGAACTGTACATTTAAAAACGGTTAAAGTGGTAAATTTTGTGTCGTGTAAGATACATTTTACTAAATTAAGAAAAGTCAGTCTTGTACTAATATGCATACAACCCTTCACATGGCCAAAATTTACGAGAGAAACTTATTCTAAAATCAGAACAAGGGCATCTGTTTCCATTTTTGCTATAATTCTCTCATCATTTAAAACATGTAAGTTTAGAAAGACTTTAACTGTCATCACACAGGAAACGCACCTCCAATTTATTGTTGGCATTTAAACGTGGTGCTAATTCATATGTAGTTTGTTTCATTCATTATACAACTGAATTAAAAACTAAACAAAAACACCCTCCCTTAAAAATAATATCTACCTTAAAACTTGTTTTGGGGCTGGCCCCATGGCCGAGTAGTTAAGTTCACGTGCTCTGCTTCAGCAGCCCAGGGTTTCTCACCAGTTTGGATCCTGGGCGTGGACATGACACCACTCATCAGGCCATGTTGAGACAGCGTCCCACATGCCACAACTAGAAGGACCCACAACTAAAATATACAACTATGTACGGGGGAGATATTTGGGGAGAAAAAGCAAAAAAAAAAAAAAAAGACTGGCAACAGTTGTTAGCTCAGGTACCAATACTAAAAAAAGAAAAAAAAAAATCTTCTGTTTTGTTGCCTTCCCAAAACATGGCAACTATTTAAAGGTCTTCTTTACTTTTTACTCATTGTATTGAAATGTGCTTTTTTCACAATTTGGTCTTGCCCCTCCATTTAAAGAATTTGCCCCATCCTGCCCTGTTCCCTAACACGGTCAAGGATAAACAAAACGTGCTGGTATGTCACAGAGCTATAGGCCGCCAATCCCTGTGGAAAAGTTTTCCTTTCAGTCCTGGATTGACGTGGAAATAATGCGTAAGGAGATCAAGGAGGTTGGGAATACACAAACGCCAGGTAGGTACCTGGACAGCTCAACTGGAGCCGGAAGTCAGGAGCAGAAATTCCATGAGCAGGCTATCATCACGTCTGCTTGTGAACACAAAGGGAGGAGCTGATGCTTTCTTGGTCACAGTACAACAAGGGGATACCTTCCACCAGCGTCAATTAAATGACAGGGGTTATGCAAAACCACAGAGGCTTCCAAGCAGGAAAAGGCTGTTGAGATCAATTAAGAACTCGCGTTTTGTGTCTATCAAAGTAACACAAGGATGCTTGTCTGAGCTCATTACTCTCCAACTCTTCAACCAGAAAACAAAATGAAGCAGGCACAACACAACGCACTACCAGATGTCTAGCTTATGTAGGGCATCCAGGTGGTCACCCCCATTACAAAAGGATCTGAGTGTTATTTTCATCCACTACAGCATTTAACACACCTCTTTTTTATTGACAGTAGAAAGAATATGAAAATGTGGGAAAACATTAGCATCAAACACGTGAAGTAACTTTGAAGTAGTATATCATTAGCCAACAGTGTAGAAGTTATTTTGGTATTTTATTGAAATTCCCAACAGACTAGCAAAGTACCTCCAAAATTAAGATTACCAAAATAAACTAGAGAAGTATTTCCAAAATAAAGATGATGAAAAATTAGTTAGCCAGAGTATATTAGTAGTCTATTGCTGCTGTCACACATTACTACAAACTTAGCAACTTAAACACCACAAATTTACTATCTTACAGTTCTGTGGGTGAGAGGTCTGACTTGGGTCTCACAGGGCTAAAATCACCGTGCGGGTGGGGCCGTGCACTTTTCTAGAGGGTCCACGGGAGAATGTGGTCCCTGGCCTTTGCTAGCTTCCAGAGGCTGCCCACATTCATGGTTGGAGCTCCTTCCTCCATTTTCAAAGCCAGAAATGCTGCATCTCTCTCTGACTGTTCTTCTGTATTTGACATTTCCCTCTGACTCCAACGCTCTTCCAATTCCTTCTTGCCCTTTCAAGGACCCTTGTGATTATATGGGGCCCACCTGGAGAACCCAGACTACTCTCCCAAATTCAAGGTCACAGGATGAGTACCTTAATTCCACCTGCAACCTTTTCCGCATTTGCCATTTAACCCAACATATTCACAGGCTCTGGGGATTAGGATGCAGACGTCTTTGGGGGGTGGCAGGGGTATCATTCCGCCTACCACACATTAAACATACATGCAAATACACCAAGTTTAATATTTTCCTGACCATTCAATGTCATTCAATTGCCTTAATCTACAGAATTTATCTTTATCTATATAAAACATATTAAACTGGCCAGATGCAACAGTAACAAAAAAATGTAAAGAGATATAAAACAATTTGTACGTGGGCTGGCCTCGTGGCCAAGTGGTTAAGTTCGTGCACTCTGCTGTGGCGGCCCAGTGTTTCACCGCTTCAAATCCTGGGCACAGACATGGCACCGCTCATCAGGCCACACTGAGGCGGTATCCCACGTGCCACAACTAGAAGGACCCACAACTAAGAATATACAACTATGTACCAGGGGGCTTTGGGGAGAAGAAGGAAAAAATAAAATCTTTAAAACAATTTGTATAACATTACAAAGTAGTGGTTATTTGTATGTGTTTATATATAAAACTGTACATGTACACATATGTGTGTATATATCTACATATGCATATAGATATATATACACACACACTAACATAATTTTATCGTTACTCAAGTGGTTCTGGAAAATCAGTATACCATAGAGATTTCTCACAAAATAAAGCCATGTTTATGAAGATCCAACATCAGCCAAAGACCATATTCTTAATGAAGAATGAAAATGTTAGAGACAAAGAAATTCTTTCTTTCAAGGGTAGTCTTTTCTCCCAACTTGCTTGCTTCTCATTTTTTTCCTGTTCTTGTCCAAATTAATCTTCTTCATGCACTTGAAGGCCCACCGTGTATGAAGTGACCAGAGCCCTCGTGAAAGGTCAAACCACCAACCCACAGACACACGAGTGCAGCTGCTTCCGAGGAAACGACTGGGAAACACAGGAAAGCCATGCGCGCATCGTCGGAGCACAGCCGTCCAGCGTGCCCTTCATTCCGGAGAAGGTCCTAATTCCTTCCATGGCGGCAACACTTGCTTTGTCTGCAAGAAACATGACTTGCAAGCGTGACCACTGTCACTGGGAGAGCAGCGCCAGACTTAAAAGACGGGAATGTGGTAGTGGCGGTCATTCTCGGTCAGCAGGGAGATCTCTGGCCACTCTCTGAGCGGCTCCTCTGGGTAGCAAACTTCAAAGTCTCTGGAGTTAAACTTGAACAGTCTGAACACTTTTATCTTTACTTCGAGGGAGTATCCAAGTATAAACATATCAATCTGGGGAAGAGATGAAAGAGAGGTCACAAATACACATTTCCAAATTCCTGCCCTCCCACCAGTGGAGGGAGAGTCTTCTGCTGCAGCCTGCGAAATAAGGCACTTGTTTACAGACCCACACATGAACCACTGAGTGCGCACAGAGTTGGGAACAAATGTCCGTTACGTGGAAGGCAGGGGACGAGCGGGGGAACATCTCTGTAGACTAGTGTGAAGAAATCACAGAGAAAAGCTGTTTGGAAAAGAAACTGATAAAAAGTGAACACAACTAGAAGGACATACAACTAAGATATACAACTGTGTACGGGGTGGGGGGTGGTTTGGGGAGATAAAGCAGAAAAAAAAAAGTGAAGGAATGCTCACAGTAAAAATTACAGCCTTCCAACTGGTTTTATATAATTTTAAATCAATTTTTATAAAAATGTCAGATAATTTTGTGTACCTCCTAAGAAAGCAAAACCAAACCAAATCCCTTTTCTATGGCGATATAAAAGCACTGTCTGGATCTTTAAAATTTCAGTAATTTCTATTTATCTGCAGTAAGTAACCGAATGGTTTCCCAAACATTATCTCACGTTCCAGCTGTACTTTCTCCTGGTTAACCTCTGCTGCGGGAGAATCTGTTCCCATCTGAGAAGCGGTCTGAAAGGTCAGAGATGTGCCCAGCTCTAGTGCTCCCTGGCCAGAGGGCTGGACGACACACAGCAACCAGCAGGGAGCAGGGAGATTTCCTGCTCTTCTGTGCCTCACTTGAGGGACAGTAATACCAACCCACCACCTCTTTGCAGTCGGTTTTATCAGGGCTGAAACTCAACACCAAACGCCTAAGTGTTCAAGTCTTGCCAGTATCGTCCTTCATCAAACACAAGACTCTTCTGCTCCATTTACCTGCTCTAGGCCACATGTGTCGCCTACAGAATTCAGGTGATTCATCATGAAGCTCAAAGGATCAGACGATGTTTCCCGGGAAAACAGCAGTCGAAAAAGACTGGGAATGACCTTTTTCGTCTTCATTTGTTCATAAACTTCGGTGACCTGATACAGCATGATGAACTTTAAAGCTTCATAGAGTTTATATTCCAGGATAGCATTAGAAAAAAGGATGTTGCACATACTTCCTCTCTTATGATAATCTTTTATTCCACTAAATTCAGTCCACTAAAGAAAAAACAGATGTAAAAGTGAAATTTAGAAGGGCAGAGGTGACTGTGTACGCCACTGCATACTTTTTAAAGTACTTAAAAAACAAACCAAGGATCAATATAGGGGCGTGGGACTTTAACTCTTCATTTTATATCTTTTGACATTGATGTTTTTTAACCATAAATACAGTCATGCATCGCTTAAGGATGGCGATATGTCCTGAGAAATGTGTTGTTAGGCGATTTCATCACTGTGTGAACATCACAGAGCGCACTCACACAAACCTAGATGGTACGGCCTACTGCACCCCTGGGCTGTACGGTACTAACCTTATGGGACCACCGTCCTATCTGTGGTCTGTCGTTGACTGAAATGTCGCTATGTGGTGCATGACTGTACATATTACTTTCCCAATAACAAACTAGTTTAAATATTTTTTCAAAAATGCACCACCTACTAGTTAAAATACTAAGCACGTCAGTTTCCAAAAACTGCTTAATATAGTTGGGTTACAGAAAGGATATTCCGACACAAACAGAACCAACTGGAATTCTTTAACATTCTCCACACACCAGGCAGTTTAAAGCCCCCTACACATATTAACTCACAACAACTGTACAGGGCAGATACAATGCATATTTCGGTTTTACAGATCAGAAAACTATGGTACAGGAATGTTATGATATTTCCCAAAGAAGATTCATTTCAACAGTTCAAAATCTGTGTCTCTATTAAAAGGCAGGAAAAACTCTTAGTCAATTTATAACAATCTATAACTTGTCCCCAGGTTATTAATAGAGCGTGTCCCAGAAGGACATTTCTGAGCGTGTTGTCTGGACCTTGCACCACATTTTTCTAGGGAAACAAAGGCATATAACTGTTAGGGCTTCCTGGCCAGCCCCCAGAGGCCTCCTTAAACCCTAATGGGCCTAATTACAACGTAGAACAATGCTGCTCTCGTTCATTACTTGGAAGGAGAAAGAACAAGGAAGGGAAACTATCAGTTATTGGAAGTGCTTCTGCCTGCACTTCCTGCTTAAGTGACAAAGTGACGCCTGACATCAGAGCATGTGGCTGCGTCTGGGATGCGTGCTTTCATTCCTACTTTTTTCTCTCCCAAACACTCACCTGCGTTTTCAATAATTCCACACATTTACGTAATTTTCCAAACACATTCGAACCCGTATACTTCTCAGGACCAAAACTGTATTGCTGGATCCAATTACAACCTTGTGAAAAGAGCAGTTTTTCAGGAAGCTTGAAAAGGAAGTAGATGCCAGCAACGATTAGTATCTCAACACTTATTAACCACCATTTGGAATATGTCAGAGCACCTATCTTATCTCATTTGGGAATCTTCATTTTAAAGGACTATAAAAACAACTGAGTAAAAACATATCGTCATTCTCTTTAGATTTGTGGATTAAGTGATTTGGATGACATTCTTAATTCATTATTTCACAACTGATGAAAACCTAAATGAAGATTAGATCTCTAGGAACAATCTTTTTGGATAAAACACTTCCCATACTTCCTAGGTACATCCCCTTAGAAATTATTTTTAACCAAACAACGTTAGAGTGACATAGTACATCAGGGAACACATGGCTTTAGAATGACGCACTGTGAGATCCTAACCCAGCTGTCACTCACCAGCCGAGAGATTACTCAGCCAGCACGGGTTATTTAACTTCTTAGCCTCACTCTCCACTGTAAGTCAAGGACGATACTATCCACTTTACAGGACTCTTGTTGGGATTAAATAAGATTATGGAATATGGAAGAATCTGACCCATCAGAGGTATCCAATACATTTTCCCATCCGGCTGAGCCTATGGAACTCACGATCTCAGTTGTATTCTCTGTCCTCAGCAACCAGCAGCAAAGCTAGCACACTGCATACACCTGACAAGTATTTGCTAGATGAAATCAAACTAACAAAGCCAACTCTAAACATAAAATGTTAAAGAAACAGAACATGTGTAGCTATGTATGTGCATATACTTTATATTTCTTTGCTCCTCCGTTCTGAACTGTACATCCTAGATTAGGCATACTGCATTCAAAATAAAAATTCAGGTTATTCATCAAGAATGTATTGCCCCACACTGTGAAGAAAATGAAAAAACAAAGAACTCTCAAAACTCCATCAACAATAAAAAAACAAACCCAATAAAAAGGGGCAAACGATTTGAACAGACACTTCTCCAAGAAGATAATAGGGATGGCAAATAAGCACATGAAAAGATGCTCAATGGCATCGCTCATTAGGGGAATGCAAACTAAAGCACAATGATACCAATGCACACTTACTAGAATGGCTTAAAAAAACCTCAAATCTGACAATACTGGTGACAATGTGGAGCAACTGGAACTCCTAGACATTACTGGTAGGAATGCAAAATGACAGAGCCACTTTGCAAAATAGTTTGGCAGGTTCCTAGTTAAACATACAACTACCATATGACCCAGCAATGTCACTCCTTGATATTTACCCAAAAGGAATAAAAACTTATATTCATACAAAGTCCTTTATGGCAATATTCATAACAGCTTTATTCACGGTTGTCAAAAACTTGAAACACTCCAGACGTCCTTCCATCGGTAAGTGGATAAACAAACTGTGTTACTTTCATGTCAAGGAATACCACTCAACAATAAAAAGGAATGAACTACAATTCATGGAGCCACATGGATGAATTGCAAACGCATTATGCTAAGTGAAAGAAGTCAGATTCAAAAGGCTACACACTGGATAACTCCATTTATAGGACATTCTGGAAAAGGCAAAACTCTAGGGACAGAAAACACATGAGTGGTGGCCCAGGGCTGGGGGTGAGAGAAGGATTGACTATAAAGGGATAGGAAGGAAGCTTCGGGGCAGTGGTTACACCCTGCATGCGTCTGTCAGAACTCCAATAACTGAAAAGTGAATTTTAGTACATCACCTCACTTCTAAAGGACAGACGCCTTTCTCAAGAAAAGATGATAGAAACAAACAAAACTGAGGATGACTCTCTTTCTGGGATGGCTTATCTGCAAACTGACATGAGAGACAGAGGACTGGGCAAAGGCCCCTCCAGGCCCCTCCAAGGTCAGAGCTGCCCACAGAAGACCCGCAGCCCGTGTTGCAGGTGTCATCAACGTGACGTTTCCCGTCTCTCCAGGGGGAGCACTGACCTTAACGATGTCTTTTTCTTTCATCCAGGATGGAAAAGAGAGGCCCTGGCTGAATATCTGAAACAACACGGACCTCAGTGCATCATAGTTATCTCTCTTGACTTGTCGGACACATTTAATACGCCGCCGCCAAAACAGCTCCTCGTAGGCCTGTGAGCACAATGGGAGAACGCTGGTTTTTAATTCTCTTGGACACGAGAATAAGCAAAGTGAATCCACTGCATTTTCAGTGAGGCGTTCCTCCCAAATAAAGCGGATGACAGAAACAAAAACAATTATCAATTACGAATGTGACCACATGGAATTTTAAAGTAACCTTGTGTGTGTAGAGTCCACGTCGTGCTATTTCAGTTGATAAATTCCTGGAAGCCCAGGGCCAGGAAATGTCATCTGGGGGAGATGATGGATACAACTTGACCCCAGTCAAAGATATTATACACTTTTAAGACCGTGCTCAGGAGCACTTTAAACGTACGGGGTTTTTTTGCTTTTGCTAGTGACAAGGTTGGGCAGCATTGCTGGGAATATTGATCAAGATTGATCTAAAAATCCTCAAAATATTTTATGTCAAGGCGCCTGACCTCTTCAAGGACAGAAGCCCGCAGTGCCTGCACAGATGTTTAAGAGGCCTGGCCAGGCGAGAGTCGACCAGTACAACGCTCAAGCTCCCGGAAATTACAGGCCTAATTTACCCACGTCCTTGAGGGCACGAGCTCTAGGGGAAAGGCCAGAAGCCAACATCCAGCAGCTGTTTGGCTTTTTAATTAGAGCCACAATTATTTCTTGCACCATGTTTGGTATTAGTTGACCTTTGGATTTAGTAAAGCGAAACAGAATTTTGTTCCCTGATTTTTACCCACAAATTCTCCATCTTCCATGAAGTTTATAAAAAGACACACCTTCCTCATCAGCTTGGCCCGGGGTGTCTCTCCTTTCCATTCTCGGGCACAATAACTGAGTAAATCAACTTCCGCCTCCACGCTGAGGTTCCCTGGACCAAGTCAGAAATAAAAGGTAGTTAATTTTCCCTTTCCTCTCCCTTCTTGAACCCTCTCTGCACCTTAAAAATAAGGAAACATATGCATAAAAATACTTACTTTTGAATTTTCTCTGCAGATATCCAATCCACCTAAAAGATAAAGGGAACAATAATATCAAAATCCTCCTTTGAATAGCAAGGGTATTTTTGAAATTTAAAGATGATACAACCACCTACCATTTCAGCCGGCGCCCTAAATATAAATGCAGCCTTTTGAAGTAGCAAAGGGCAGCCACCAGAAATGAAACTGCCAACATCACCGACCCCTTTGCTATTCTCCACGCAGTATCTAAGGCTTGGCTGGTGACTAGTGTCCAGGCGTGAACTTGGTCATTTCCTACAAAAATTTAATAATAAAAAAAGAAAAAGCACATCACATTTTCAGAAGTCTGCTTTAAGGGAAAAAAGATACAGTGGATAATTATACTTGCCAAGTGTTGATCATTGATTTACATAAACATTTTTTAAAGTATTCAAAAATACAATCTAAAAATTAAACTTCTAGCTCTCCTATAATCAGTGTCATATTTAAGAATATCTTTGTTCCACAAAATTCAAGAGAAATAGTGAATGTAAAGACTATAGGTTTCATAGGGCCAGCCCCGTGGCGCAGCAGTTAAGTGCACACATTCCGCCTCGGGCACCTGGGGTTCCCCAGTTCGGATCCCGGGTGCAGACGTGGCACCGGTTGGCAGGCCATGCTGTGGTAGGCATCCCACAGGTGAAGCGGAGGAAGATGGGCACGGGTGCTGGCTCATGGCCAGTCTTCCTCGGCAAGGAGAGGAGGATTGGCAGCAGATGTCAGCTCTGGGCTAATCTTGCTCAAAAAAAAAAAGAAAAAAAAAGAGTATAGGTTTCAGAATCCCTCTGACCTGAATTCAAGACCTGCTTCTCCTACTTTCCTAGCTGTTCGACTGTGGGAACCTAACTTCTCTTACCCTGAATGGTCTTGACTATAAAATGGGGGTAAAAATACTGACCTCTCTGGGGAAAGATGGAACGAAATTATTTAAGAACCAGCAGAGTGCACGACACACTGTGTTGAATATCTGTTGAATCCAAGATTGTGTACAGGGGTTCTGCTCCCACTGAGAGCACCGCCCAGGAGACAGTCACACCAGGGGGCCTCTAGCGATGCAGCCACCACCCACCTCCACCCACTTTGATGTTCTTAAATCACCATGGGCCACAACATGTGGCATCACCTTAACACACAGAATGAGCAACTCAAACACAGAACAGCAAGCACACAGACATCATTTCCAGAACGCAGACCACTTGGACGTCATGAGATGGAGACAGATGTGCCACTTATGGTTGACTGTGATTCCTGATTTGACAAGAGAAAAATAACGGGCCCAGCTGGAGCGCTCACATTGTGTACATGCAATATTTCCCTATGTGCAGCAGACTCCTAATTATATTATGTTTGAGCATGTAAAATGCTGAAGTACAAATGAGGAAGAGGACTCCTGAGTTTCGGCCAAACCTCCTGGGGTTCATTGTGAAATAGTTCCCTCCCCAGCACATGGTTTAGTAAAATTCCAATGATTAACTTTGGAAAAGCCTCATCAATTTGGAATCTACAATTTTAGCATTTTTGATCATATGGATATTTGATGTACATTTACACTCTCAATAAAGAGTTTACCGGCAAAGAAAGAAAGTTACCAGCAAATAAAAATACATAGATTTACAACTATTTAAAAAGACATTTTCAAAAACAGATGCTTATCTGTTTAGAACTGGTTAGCTCTTCCTTATATATTTACTCCTGCCTAGACATTTAGTAAAACTTTCTATGAATTGCTTAAAAATGTAAAGCTATACTGCCTTTACATCTATAATTTAGACTTTTATTAAGTCAGATGGATTTCCTAACTTTGAAAATTCTCACATACACAAATATTTTTACTAAATTCTTAAATTCAGAAAGAACTAGAATTTTGTCTATGTGACATAATTTCCTTTACTGTCATCATAAAAATTTTATAGAAAAATGGAATATTACATATGATTTTAGTTTTTTCTCTTTATATCAATTGCATATCAAATTATAAGTTGGATATCTTTTCACATCACTGTGTATATATCTACATTATTCTTTTTAAAGAATGCACAGGGGCCAGCCCGGAGGCGCAGAGGTTAAGTGTGCATGTTCCACTTTGGCGGCCTGGGGTTCACCAGTTCAGATCCTGGGTGTGGATATGTCACCGCTTGTCAAGCCATGCTTTGGTAGGCGTCCCACATATAAAGTAGAGGAAGATGGGCATGGATGTTTGCTCAGGGCCAGTCTTCCTCAGTGAAAAGAGAAGGACTGGCAGCAGTTAGCTCACGGCTAATCTTCCTCAAAAAAAAAAAAAGCACAATATTTCAGTATAAAGATACACCATCATATACGTATGTAATCTTTGCTTTATTGATAAACATTTGGATTGTTTCCCAGTTTTTCAGTCTTACAAACACTACTGAGACATTCTGCTTACGGACTCATGGTAGCTTTTAGGATAATTTCAAGAGGAAACTCAGGGTCAAAGGGTGTGCACGTTTTTAGTTTTGACAGATGTTGCCCAAGAGCCTTCGGAAACAACGCTGTCAATTAACACTCCCACTACAGGGACGAGGACCCCGACTTCCCCAAGCCCCAGCACTGGCTGTGATTTCTCACTGTAGTCTGCATTTCTGTAGTGACACGTTCACACTGCTTCCTCTGTGAAGAGCCTTTTAGAGCCTCTGCCTACTTCGCACTGGGTGGTGCTCATTTCTGTGCCAACCTAGAGAGCTTGCAGTCACTGAGGCGGGGTCTGGCTGCTGCCCCTCCACGAGGCATGTGCTCTCATTTGTCACACACCCCAACCAACACGCTGCATTCTTTTAAGTTACTGCCCGGCCCCTCGGGGCATTTGGTTTGAGACCTCTGAATCAGGGCCTTCTCCTGAGCATGAGGCCTCTCCTGCAGCTGCCCAGGGCCTCCAAGGGGACCCAGTGCAGATTATGGCTTCCCCCATGCCACCCCCCATCCCCCCACACAGACACATTTCCCTAGCCCACTCCCTTATCCTGGAAATTAAACCCTGCCTACAACCCAAGAAAGAAACAATGATATGATCAACTTATCAGGAAAAAACATGTGAGAGCTCAATACCCCTCCCATGCAAACCCAGAACACAAGCCTAACGTCCCGGCCTCTGTCCACCTAATGCGCCCACAGTTTTTGGTCAAGTAACTCAAGCCAAGAAGGGCCAGGGAGCATAACCCCCAGGGGGCGACCTGGAGGCGGCTGCGCCCTTTACTCCCTGTGGCCCTGGCCGCACAGCCACCAGGACCTTGTAGATCTGACACAGGATCCCCTGCCTATGAGGTAAACTGACTGCAGCCCATGGACATGCTGAGGTCTTCACAGATAGATCAGGAGTGGGGCTTGTAACCCAAAGGAGAGGAAGTACAACGTTTTAGTAGAAAAAAGTATGGCTTCACTGTTAATTAAAATACATACAATCTGAGCTTTTGCTACCCCCCCCCCCAAGACCCTGTGCTAAGTGTTTGACAGGAAATATCTCATTTGCTCCTGCCAGCGCTGCCCTGGTGTAAGGAGGTCCCAGAGCCCACAGTGTGGGGCCCATCCCAGCCCTGCCCATACACTGGGTGGGCAACTTCCCCTCCCTGAGCTTCTGTTTCTTACCCCAGGAATGGAAACAGCAAGGAATACTTGCCTGGTATACTGGGAGTGCTCAATGCATGCTCGCTCCTACGGCGGGTACCACATAATGGCAGGAGTGGAGCAGCATCCACCTCTCAGAGCTGTTGTGACAGTGAAGGAAATGATGGGGGAGCGCTGAGCACACCATCTGACAACGGTAAGTACCCAATAAATGGGTATTATCATTTTTATTGCTGTCACTCTAATCGTTCTTATTTTGCAGATGAGAAAACTGAGAGGGAAAGATCAAATAAGCAAGTGATAAAGTTGCAACTCAAACACAGGGACAAGGTGAAGGTGTGAAGCCAGCAGCTGTGTGCCTTCTCACTGGGCCATCCGGCCTCTGAATGATGGAGTCGCGTAAATCTTCAAATCAGCTTTGTTACAGCAAGAGGAATTAAGACTCTCTAAAAAGAGAATTTAAAAAATTTCTCCCGTATGTGTCAATAACTGGGTTGCAACTCAAAAACAATAGACGTAGAAGAGAACGCCATAAATGAGGCACCTAGAAAAACACTACCATGATCCCAACTTGGATGATCTCTTGAGTCAGATCTCATTTCCTCAAATACAGCTGAGAGGGGACAAAACTTCCCACATCAGAGTCATCACGGGGGTCCCCCTTCCGCCAGCCCGCCAAGGAGAACTCAGCAGCAGGCCATCCAACTTTCCCTCCCCGCCCGGAGAAGCGCTAGGGAGAAGCGCTCGGCCGACAGCCCGCTTTGGGTGACGCTGACTGGACTAACCGGAAGGGAGAGAAGCTTCCACCACAAGAGAGTCAGTCATTCTACATAATAAAACGAAGATCGAGAAGGAAGGGGAAGAAACAAGGCAGGGGGACAATGAAGATTCTTCAGGAAGTGAGGCTTGCAAGAAGAGGCAGAAAACAGAAGCATTGCCAGGAATTATAGATTTGATCCTCTTTAAATGGTTCGGCAAGAGACAAAAAATGAACTTTCTTTTTAATACTTTTGGAGTGGACCACTTGGATGGTGACTGAAATGAGTCTATATACAAAGCATCACGCATTTCTATTACACGGGAAAGTGGCCTAACTAGGTCTCAGACATCCCCCAATCAGCGGCATTGAAACGCACTGAGAGACCCCAACTCACACAGTCAGAAGTGATCCTTGAGTAGTTAAGATACCCTTGAGAGATCACACCAGGACATCCTGAAATCAACAGTGTGTCTCTCTGAAACTAAACTCTGATCTGTGATCACTCAACCTATATACGGCAGATGAGACCACTCGACTTGAACTGAAAAAAAAAAAATGCCACTGGTTTTTTGTGGTAAAATTCTACTTAGAATTTTTTTTCCGTTCTCTAAAATATACCAAAGCTGAAATAATTCAAACATTCAAACAGGAAACCAAAAAGAAAAAAAACAAACCTGAAAACAAAACTAAGACACTGAAGAGCCGGAAACCGAGCAATAATGCAGACAGCAGTTCCACCCCAAGCCTTAGCCTCGCTCTCATGGAAACTCCTCAATATCTGGTTTGCCTCCGAAACTTCCAGGGTGTTCCAGATCCAGACAGCCAATCCTTTACTCCCCTACTTCCCCACAGTCCAGCCGCGGAGTCTTTGTCTACCTCCTCTCCCAATCTTGTCCATGGTACAGCAGCTCTGCAC